AGGGATTATTTTACAGAATGGTGTGGGTAAAGGGTTTCAGCTCTTCCCAGTCATTAAGCGTGCACTCTGCTGGATCCCTGGGGATTTAGGAAGGACTCTCAGTTCAGTGGTCTTAGAAATAGACAAAGAGGAACTCTGAATTTTAAGAATTAGTAGCACATTTATCTTTTTAAAAGAAATCTGTTTTGCTCTCTGAATTTTCTTTTGTTCATTTGTGAATATTCTGGTATGCTTTAACTGGAACATACTAATTTGAAATTGGGGCAAAATGATTTTTACACAGTTGCCCCCAAATTGTCCTTTCACGATCTCAGAGTGTTCTATTTATATTTCTAAAGGAAGCATTTAGTTTATAAAGTTCAAAGAGATTTAGTGTGGTTAGAAAACCAGAGTGGGGAGTCCCTGGCCTTAATTTCTGTTGTGCTATAACTTCTGAAGAGAAAGAGGAGTGTGTATTTCTCAAGTTTTATTTCACATTACGACTTTCTGGAAGCCTCTAACCATTCTGCATTCTTCTAATTGGGCAAGCAATGCCTATGTGGTGTGCTAAGGCTCTGTGAGCGCAGGTCTTGGCCCGAACTGAAGTTCCACTGAACTTTTTCTTCTTCTCGGCCTTAGGATCCTGTCACCACATTGGGAAGATTAGACAAAAGCTCTCTGCAGTTTATTTTCTTTTTGAACAAGTTACATTGTGGAGGGACTTTTAAGCTAAAAGAAGAAAAGCTCCCTCGTTGTTAGAAGCAGTGTGTAGTTTCAACTTGCCTTGGACTTCCTCGGAGATGTTTTAAGATCCGCTGTAAACTTGCTGTGGTTTGCCTTTGGGCATCACCTTGTTTAGCTTGGCACGATTATATCAATAATTGCTGCATTTTAATAATTGCCCAATATTCTCATCAGCAATTTGCAGTTTATATATATAAGTGTGTGTGTGTATGTATATATATATGTGTATATATGTGTGTGTGTATATATATATATACACACACACATATATATATATTTTAAAGATTTATTTATATATGCATGCAAGAGCTGGGGTACAGGCCAGAGGTGTGGGGGTGAGAGAATTCACTAGAGACAGAGTGGGAGCACAGGCAGATGTACTGAAACACACTGCTGAGGGGAGCAGCAGGTGGGTCAGGCAGGGTCTGCTACATCATGTGGGTCAGCAATCTGGGCGGGGATCCAACTCTTGCTGCAGTAGCTTCATGGTACTGTGCTTTTTTTCATGGTACCGTTGTGCCACCAGGCAGGGCTTATTGCAGTCTATTTACCAGATCCTTTTGCCTAGGCCTGATTTAAACCCCTAGATTAACACATGACCACATATCCTCTGTAGCTTTGGGCTGGGTGATGCAGGCTCCATGAATATTCCCACAGGCTGCATGCTGGTTAGTTTGTGTTCCAAACCACCCACTGGGAAGCCATCTTCTTTTGAGATCTCCTTACAAGATCTTACTTTTTTTTTTTTTTTAAAGATTTATTTATTTATTCATATAGAACTGGGGTACAGGCCAGAGATGTGGAGGGTGAGAGGATTCACCAGAGACAGAGTGGGGAGCAGAACAGGCAGATCGACGAAGTACACTGCTGAGGGGAGCAGCGGGCGGGTCAGGAGATGTCTGCCACGCCATGTGGTCACCTCCGGGGCAGGCGGGAATCGAACTCATGAGGAAGTGGCTTTTAGATTCTCAGTGCGGTGCTTTAACCCGCTGTGCCACCGGGGAGGGCCACAAGATCTTACTTTTTATAAAAATTAACCTTTGTGAACTGATGAAACTCAACAAAAATAAACAACCCCATCAAAAAGTGGGTAGGAGAGCTAAAAAGACACTTCTCCAAAGAGGAAATGCAGATGGTCAACAAGCATATGAAAAAATGTTCAACATGACTGGTAATAAGGGAGATGCAAATTAAAACCACAATGAGATACCACCTCACCCAGTGAGAATGGCACATCTTCAAACAACTAGCAACAACAAATGTTGGCGAGGAGGTGGAGAAAAAGGAACTCTCCTGCACTGCTGGTGGGAATGCAAACTAGTACATTCACTATGGAAAACTGGAGGTTCCTCAAACTGCAAAACACGGAGCTTCCATATGACCCAGCAATCCCACTCCTAGGTATCTACCCAAAAGACACAAAAACACTGATTGAAAAAGACACTTGCACCCCCATGTTTATTGCTGCAAAATACCGGGTGGTTTCACTCATAGCAGGAGAGAAAATAATAATAATGAACAGCTATATACCAGAGACATTTTATGGGGGTGGAGTGGGGAATGGGATCAAAAGCAGTGAGGAGAAGGAAATGCACTGGACTATGGTGATGGCACAAGGGTGGTTTGGTGATGGGAAGCCCAGGGGATTACAACTGAGATGGAAAAATGCACAAAATGATGTAAAAATAAACTATTATATATATATATATATATGAATTGACCTTTGTGTTTGGTGTCCTCTTTTTGAGAGGACTTTCCTTATTGACCCATTCAGGAAATACAAGTTTTTGAACAGGAAAAGTAGGGGCCAGTTCATTTTGCTGTTGCTGACTTTTAATTTAACAGAGGAGACTTCATTCATCTGCGGGGATGTGGAATTATGGTGACAGAAATGTTGGACTGGAAGGCATGATTAAAGTCAACTTTATAGCTTCTAAAATATTATTTAGTCAGTTACAATTTTTGAAGAAAATCTTTGCCACCAGTGACTTGTGCCTCAACTTGACTGGCACTTTTGTTCCTTTGGTGGTTGCATTCTTTAACTTGTCTCCTTGTTTTTGGTCTGTTGTAATGCTTACTGTGCAGTCAACAAAAGATTGAACTGATTTTAAAGAAGTTAAGAATTCCAGAAATAGCTGTACTCCAATGTTTCTACTTGACAGGTTAAAACATACCTTAAAGTGAGGTATGTAGTGATAATAGTAGTGATAATAACAACTAGTTATTAGTAGTGATAATAACAACTAACATTCTAGTAGTGATAATAACAACTAACATTCACTGATAGCATATTATATACTAGGTACTGTCTTAAGCATGGTATATATTAATGACACATATTAATGCACTTGCAGCAACCGTAGGGTATGCAGAGTAACTTGCCCAACATTGCCCATTTGGTAGATAACCAAGCAAGTTCACAGTCAGGCAGGTTTTTAATTGTCATCATAATTCATATTCTGTTAATGCTAATTAATTATAACGTTAGTAATAGTGTTAATATTAATCACCATCCTATGGTAAGATTAAACCACAGTGCCCCCAGCACCTATAATAAATTGAAGCATACATAAAAACTTCTTTTTGAAATTAGAATTTTATTGTTACTATTTCTGAATAGGTAATACTTGCACATGCTAGCACACCCAAATGAGAATTCAGTGGGTAGGATCTTGTCCCCTCTGACCAGTCACCTGGTTTCCCTCCTTCTCACTGGTACTTAGTATTATTCCTATAAAAAGCTATTTTAAATATCCTTTTCTTAACTGATGTAGTGAACCATTTTTTTCTTAAAATTTATTTTTGCATACAAAAACTGGGGTATAGGCCAAAGGTATTGGAGGAGGGGTGGGTGTGTGAGGACTCACTAGAGACAGAGTGGGGAGCAGAACAGGCAGATTGATTGAAATACACTGCTGAGGGGAGCCGCATGTCGATGAGATAGAAGAAGTCTGCTGCGCCACGTGGATCATCTCCCTGGCTGGGGATTGAACTCGCGCTGCAGTGACTGCAGATAGCTTCATAGTGCTGAGATTTAAGTCCTTGTGCCACCAGGGAGGCCCTAGTGAATGAACCATTTAACAAGAATTTTATTAACCACTTTTTCTATATTTTTTGTACTGGATCTACAAGTGCCCAAACTAGCTTTGTCTCTGAATGTAACGAGCTAGTTCTACAGATGTTATTTCTTCTTCTAGGGTACCAAGGTTGCAATTCCCAGCTATTTGAGGTGGTTCCTTTCTAGGAACCTTTCATGACCCTGTCTTGCCTAGGGCAGGGTCTCTGTGATTTTGTCCAATCTGGGGATCACTTTTAGTCCTGGTAAGAAGGGATCATGTTCTCACATGGTGCCTAGAACATAGTAGGTGCTCAAGAAATGGTTGTTGAACTGAACATCTCCTGTGGATTGTGCCAGCTGAGGAAGATATGCCAAAGGAGGGAAGGTTTAGGACCACAGGAGTGATGTTCCAGTTACACAAACCCACAAAGCGTGTCATACAAGGCTATAAATAGGAAAAGGTCAGAAAGGACCTTTTGGATGCTATGAGATAGCTTCAGATGAACTTGCTAGCAAATAGCTGAAGTAAAAATCTTTTAATTTTTCAGGTTAATTGCGATCTGTCATTACAACATTAAATTAAATCTCCAATTAGAGTTATTTGTTCCTGGCATCAGGCAATTCATGTATCAAGTATCCTTGATGACTTTTGTGCCACCACATGACTGATATTGTGTTACAGGTGCACCTTGATTTTCCTAGATATTCCTGTAACTGTTATAGAAACACAAAGACTTAACAACGTCAAAGATAAGCATGTCTTTTAAAACAAGTCTTTATTAGGTAGTTACTATCCCACCTCACTTTGCTTTGCATACTCTCTTAGCATTTTTTAAAAAAGATTGATTTATTTGTGCATACAGAATTGGGGTACAAGCCAGAGGTGCAGGGACGGTGAGAGGATTCACCAGACAGAATGGAGAGCAGAACAGGCAGATCGTCGAAGTGCACTGCTGAGGGGAGCAGCTGGTGGGTCAGGAGAGGTCTGTCACGCCATGTGGGTCACCTCCAGGGCGGGGATTGAACTCATGCTGAGGTGGCTTTAGCTTCTTAGTGCTGTGCTTTAACCCACTGCACCACCAGGGAGGGCCCTCTCAGTATTTTTAAAGGTAAATTTATCTTAAACTTTATAGAAATTCTTTCATTTTAATGTGTGTTTGTTTAAAAAAGAAGTTCCTATATCAAGTTTTCTTCCTGAAAATGTTCTTAACTTTTACAGGCAACTTGAAAATTGGAAAGAGGGATTTTTAAGGCCACTTCTGATTTGTCAAGACTGTGATCTGAACAGCTAGAGGCTGTGTTAACTGCACAAGACACACTTTTGAAGAAATAAAAATGGCTTCTCGTCATGTGATTGTTGTGTTTGCTCTGATGAGTTCCTGTCTTGCTACTGCAGGTAAGTTGCATACTCTAAATTGTATGTTCATTATGTTCTTTTGTATATATTTTCCCCCTGTCTCTTCGGTTTAGAAAAATTTAGGACATGTTCATGAAAGCCTTGAGTATTTGCCTCTTCAGGAACAGTACTGATACTTGGTACATTTGCTGTGTTCTGCATTAGGCGGCTGGAATGCGCCATATTGACATGGTAAGGCAGTGCTTAACCAGCCTTCAGTACTGAGGTGGATAGAGAACATATATGCTGTTAAATTCCACTTAATTTTGTTACACACTTTTATTACATTTACTTTCTTGTTATGTCCAACATTTTCAGGAGATTCTTTTTGTTATTTTCTTTAGTATAAAGTAAATAGATCTAGGTAGAGACCAATCTAGATGGAAAGTACTTAATTTCGCTTATTTTACGTTATTTTAAAACATTTTTTTATAATGTACTTTTTATAAGATTTATTTATTTATGCATATAGGAATTAGGGCACAGAGGATTCAGAGTGGGGAGCAGAACAGGCAGATCTACTGAAATACACTTCTGATGGGAGCAGCAGGCGAGACAGGAGAGGTCTGCTGTCATGGGGTCAGCTCCCTGACCCAGGATCAAGCTCGTTCTAAAGTGGCTGTGGACAGCCTCATAGTGCTGTGCTTCAACCTGTTGGTTCACCAGGGAGGGTCCACTAAAAGTGATCTTGAAAAAATAGTAGAGTGAGAGAGAGCTCTTAGTGGAAAATTTGCTGTTTTGATGACATGTTTAATCATACCTCGTAAACTGAGCTAACTTTTTTTTGTTTTCATGCATACCAGGGATTGACTAAAACATAACTGAAGGAGGTACTTCATGGGAAAGTGTTGATTGGGGTGCTCTGTGAAACCTACATGTATTTGATAGTGAGTCAGTCTGCTTAAGATGTTTTATCCTCTTTCAAGCCTAAGGGAATTTTTTTTTTTGATTTTTTACATACTCAGAGCTCTGCTGAGGTGGAAGGTACCAGCAAGTTACAGTGTTTATAGTATGAGGCAAATGATTTCTAGCGTAGAGGTAGAGATGTCTTTTTGAGCAACTTAATGGGTCTAAGAAATGAATGGAGGAAGAAATGTCTTGTATGTACTGATCCTCAGTAGCTTTCTGAGTAGGCTCAGCATTTACAAAATACTATGGGGGGTACTCTGGGGGGTACTCTGGATGAGCTGAGGATGATAATAGTAATAATAATAATGATGGTGAATATTCATCATAGATGAAATACTGAGTGCCAGGCCCCAGTCAAACTGCTTTATACATGTTATCTCACTTCATGTTCATACCTACCCTGAGCAGAATGGGTACTTTGTTTTTCCCCTGCTTACAGATGAGTTGAAAGTTGAAGCATAGGCAGGTGAATTAACTTCCTCAAGGTCAATAGCCAAGAAGTGGCAGATTTAACTGTAAGTATGCTTAGTCTGAGTCTGCAGATGACACCCTTAACACTCTGTTCTGCTAGGGAATACTGATCAGAAGGGTGTTGGCTTTTGAAAGAATGATAATGGGGTTGCTTTATGCCATCCGTGCCTTATTGAAACAGCAAGCAAATAACTTATTCACAGAGTCCCTGCTAAGTGCAACATCTAGTACTAGTCCCTCAAGGATATACAAAGAATTCTAAGAATTATCCTTTTTCTGGGGTCGCTGTACTAGTTAGGCATGTCAGACATCACCAGATTACAAAGTAATCCAGACAGAATCTACACAGGAGAAAGCATTGGTTTGATCAGATGGGCGAGGAATGCCTAGCACAGCATAGGCAAAATTAGTTGCTGCTGATTTGTATTTTTTACTGAGTGGTTGAATATAGCAGGTGGGTTGTGTGGGTGGAGGTAAGTATGAGACTTGTGAATTTCCTTTTGAGTTTTACCCCTATAGCCAAAAGCATACATTGCTTAATCTAACAGTTTAAGTGGTGGCCTCAGAGTGTGGGGCTGGATGGGAACAGGCCTCCTGAGCTTCAGAGACAACAGTGCTGGGCACATAGGCTGACTTTAGCAAGGACTTGCCTCTGTTGGGTAATTTACTTTGTCTTGTGAAACCTTATGAAGTAGGTATTAGTGTCATCACCTGCATTTTACAAACAAGGAAACTCACTCTATTTGGTTAATTATATAAAGTCTCATAGCTAATAAGTGGCAGAGCAAAAACTTGAATCCACACAGTTTGCTCTAAGTGCAACCAGTCCATTATTCCACTGGAGTCTCTGTTAGAGACTCTAGTGGGAGATGAACAAACGGTTTAGTTTGATTATTAAATGCCACGTGAGTAGCCACCAAGAGACATCCTGGGTGCACATTAAAGCTCCTGTGGCCTCTGAGAGATGTGTACAAGTCACCAGAGTGGAAGAACTTTACTTAAAGCTGGAGCACAGCAGAGAACATAAATGAGCCTGAGTTGGAGTAGTGGGAGCTTGCTTGTCCCAGCCCGATGGGTTGCATTGACCCCCAGTGAGGTCCTTTCCTTCTCTGCTTGCCGCTCATGGTGAAGGAGGCAGGGACAGTGAGCTGGCTCTCAGGGATAGTGCTTACTTTGACAAAACTCATCCTTTCCCTTCCTGCCCTAGGTCCTCGGCTATTGTGCACCACTTTGGGGAGGGCAGGCAGTGCTGTTAGTGAACAAGGGCTGTGAAGGGACCCTTATGCCTGCTAATTAGAGATGACTTTGGGTTTTGGCACCTTCGAGCCTGTAGTCTATCGAAGAAAAGTGGGAAGATTAAAAGAAAAATGTAGCTGTTTGCTCCTGCAGGCTTAAGGTTCACTGATCATTTTAAAAATGATTCAGTTACCAAAAAAGAGAATAAAAATGCTTCTGCTGCACATCTTTAAAAAATATTAACTGTTGCCTCTGCAGCTTGCCTGAGTCAGGTAGGGCTGTGTTGTCAGGAGCCTTAAGGAAAAGAGGCACACATGAATTTAGGGAATTCACCTCACAGACCTCTGGGCCAGGACAAAGGAGTGCTGCTCACCTGAGCTCTGCAGGAAACTCCACAGGGGCCTGCTGACAAGATGGCATTTGCCTGCTCCTGTGTTTCGGGTCAAAGGGAGGCTTGCCAGTCACCTGCCCTGCACACACATTTCTATTGAGCAAGCACATTTCTTTTCACCTCTGTTGGCTATACCTGAAATTCTAGGTATGCGCCGTAGGAAAGAGACATTTCTGGTTGGACTGTTTTCCTGCAAAAAAGGTTGTGCTAAACTTTAACCATTGGTCCTGAAGAGAATATTAGAATGAAAATGGCAATGAAATCAAAACCAGAAATGATAAAAAAACTTGATGACGGCATAAAAGCTAGTGAATTGGTATGTGATTTTTTTCCACCCACTCCCATTAGCAAATTCTTAAGGGACTTTGAAATAGCCTTTTCCAATTTCTGTTACTTCACTTATTTTTCAATTTCATTTTAATGTCAATAAAAGCCAAACAGTCTGAGAAAACTGAATGAAAGGTGTCTTTTTTTTTTTTTTTGTCTGCCTGTCCTGAGAGCAGAGATGTTAGCTGGTTAGTACTTGGCTGGTCATGGACAAGCTGGCTACCGCAGGGGAGGTTAAATGAGTAATTAAGCCTCTTATATTTTAATGCTTCAAAATGCTTTTGCAACTACTATTTCACTTGATTCTCAAAGCATTCCCTGAGATAGAAAGGGATTATTTTCTTCATTTCTAGAATAAGAGTAATGGGACTTTGAGTGAGTAAGGTAGAAAGATGGTTTTAGCTCTCGATACAACTCAAAATCAACAGGCTTCTGCAGGGGAACCAGAGTGAAAGTCCTGTGCTCTGCTTGCTGCACACACTCGCCACACCTGAGGAAACGGTCAGCAAGCCGGGCCTGCTGGGCACGCCACACGCGTCAGCTCACCTACAGCAGCCCAGGGAGCTAGGTATTTGTCATTATCACTCTTTCTGTAAATCCCCTGATGCCATTCCTATGAGTATACTCATTTTACAAATGAGGTAACTGAGGCTTAGAAAAGAAACCTCAATCTTTAGGACCAATTGTTGTGGGTTCCTATGAGCTGGCTACTACCCAGTCACTCTGTTGAGAGGAAGGATGTCCTAAAGGAACTCTGCAGAGTCTTATGGACTCCACCCCCAACTCCAGCTTTCTGGACCCTGCCTGCTACTCCAGTGATTGGAAACTACAGCCCCCAGCAGCACCAGGGAGAGAACTGCGAGGACCCAAGGGTGGAGCTCACAGGAATTCTGAGACTTTTGGGGGATAAATAGGGTGTAATTGCATGTCTCTCTTGGGCTCTCTTGGGAAACGGCTCTCTGGACCGCATGACTCAGTGTTTTCAGCCAGCCTAGCTGGTAAGGTATTCCAGTTACTTTGTATCCCACTCTCTTTCCCTGGGTTGTTTCCTATTCCTTTCCCCTTTTGTAAATAAACCCGTTATTGACCCTTTTGTGTGCACCTGCAGTACAACTGAATTTTGAGTGCGCCGGTGAGGCCTCACAGACAGGCCGCCCAGTCCACTCTGGGCCACCCTGTAACAATTCATGGGTGTCTGTGAACTACTTGCTATCTGCAAATCACAGCGAAGCATTCCTTGACTACTTGCGGAGTACAGCCAGCATCACAAGCCAGGTGCAGGGTCACCTAGGCCGCCACTGACCTGATGATGTGACTATCTCCATGGTGGTCTCGGGATAGCTCTGCCTGTGAGAAAATCGAACACTTCGCTGAAGCAGATGTCTCTTGACGTATGGTCATGATGTCCCCTTCCCTGTCCTTCGTAAAACTTTGTCCCCCATCCCATTCCCAGCCTCTGGACTTTATTCCTCACACCATTGTCGCATGATCAGCTTATACCAGCCTGTATGATTTCAATAAATAACGCAAGAACTGCTGTTCAAGTAATAGTCTTGCCTTGCAAACCTGCTCCTCCGCTGTTCTGTCCCTCACTGCCTAAAAGCGGCAACAGAGTTCCTATGGCAACAAAATGTAATCAGTAAAGCGAGACAAATGCATTTTTCCT